GAAGGAAGGGAGAGAAGCCAAGTCCCCATGCAGGTTCAATCTCTGGACTCCTGGGGGTGGAAGAGCCCGGATCCCATGTTCCCCTGCCGCCCCTCTCCGCGCAAGTGGCAGGCAGAGGGAAGCGGTGCTCAGGAGGAGCCGGGTTGTCCCGGGAACAAATCCCCAAAGAGGAGGAAGGGTCCTGGGGGAAACCTTCACACACACACACACCTCCCATAGCCTGGAGAGAGCTCCGAGGTGGGAGATGGGGAGAGCTTGGAGGGCAAATCTGGAGCAGGAAAGAAGAACATGGTTGCAAGGGAGAAACTGCAGGAGATTATCCTTCTGTGCTGGAGGACACTAAAATAGGGTTGCATCCTCAGGAGTTCAATTTCTCTTAGGAGGGTGAGTGAACCAGGACCTCACCAACCCCGGTGTCTCATGTGAACAGTTGCTTAGCATGTTTGTGTTTGGGGTATGTTTTGGATATCTGCCTGTGTGTAATCCTGTGATTTGACTCTTAAAAACGAAACCTTGAAGAAAGGGAAGTGGAACTGAGGTCATTTATTGGCATTTCATTTTTTTTAAATGAACTTTTATGGTTTGTTAACCTGTTACAGTTTGGCATGTTGTATAAACCCTGCTTGTATGTAAATGTAGATCTAGATTTTTATGAAGCAAACCCTAAAAAGAAATTGAAAATGACCCAAAATAAATTTATTCAATGTTCCAGGTCTCATGGATGTCAGTCTCAAAGTTTGTACCAAACACACATTCATATGCAGGGACTAACCGTAATCCTGTACTAGCTCAGAAAATTACTACCCTGTTTCTCCAACAATACGGCCTCCCCCAATAGGAAGTCCCAGCATGTTTTATAGGCATGAAATGAAATTAAGCCCCTCCCCCCAAATTAAGGCCTGTATTAAAATATGCGAAATGGGGGGGAAATGGCGGGGGGGGGGCTTGCTGTTAGGAAGTACTTTTGTTGCACACCCAGATATGGTGCTGCCTGCGTTGACCCTGATACAAAGTGCCCCACCAACGCCGAGGTCAACATCCAAGCTGTCGCCACCCGCCCTAAGATGCAAGGTGGGGGGAATTAAGTCACCCCTGAAAAGACAGCCTAGCCGTTTTTTCGGGGCTCAAAAAAAATAAGACCGGGTCTTATTATATGAGAAACACGGTACTTTCTGTTGGAATGAGTGTTAAAATGGGGTTAAAATAATCTACCACTTTCTAATTAAAATACAGATATTGGAAGCCATTTGTGCTCCCTCTGCTGAAAGTCTTGCCTAATCTGTAGCTACAGGAATGGGACTATGACTGGAAAGGTGTTTGGAGAAAAAATGAAAAGCCAATCTTTATCAAGTGAGGGAACTGGAAAAGGCCTTTCTGGTGTTCAGCCTTGGAGCTGTGGGGAGATCTGGGCAAGAACTGGGCAGAAGATTCTGGAGCAGAAAACCACCCTTTCAGACATTCAGCCCCGGAACTTTAGAAGCTTCCAACACCAGGAGGATGAAGGACCCCGAGGACTTTGCAGTCAACTTCATTACTTTTGTAGTCGATGGTTGAGATCAGAAAAGTACACAAAAGCGCAGGTGCTGGACCTGGTTGTTTTGGAACAGTTCCTGGCGCTTCTGCCCCTGCAGATGGAGAGCTGGGTGCGGGAGTGTGGAGCAGAGACCAGCTCCCAGGCGGTAGCCCTGGTGGAAGGCTTCCTCCTGAGCCAGGCGGAGGAGAAGAAGGAGTGGACTGAGTGGCAGGTGAGAGACCTTCATTTGGGAGCTCAGAATTTATTAAATCTAATAGTCTAAATCTAACTGTGTTCGAATTCTTGACCCTTGCCTACCAGAATTCTTTGGCATTCATTATATGTAGAGAATCTTCTAATTCTTGTAGGACATTGTTCTGTTATTTGTGATAGTTGTTCCTTTCCTACTTTCCAACTACATTGATGGATTCTGGAGCTTCAAAGTGGCATTCACAGAAGAAGAATCTTGATATGTATTGTCCATTCATTTTTCTTGTTTCCTGCCTACTCTTTCAAGTCCTTCACGATGGAGATCAGAGATCCTAAGAGACAGAGGCATCCATCAAGTTCATCTCTGGAAATGTTTTTCAGGAGGATCTCTCAGGATGATCCAAATCAAGACACGACCAGAGGTAATACAAGGCTCTCCCATTCTGCAGAGACGTCTCAGCTGTCTCGTCTTCTGTATGTCTTCTACCTCCTACATTATTAATTATGCAGTTTAAATTCTGTCTCCCTCACAGGGAAGAATAAAAGGAAGTTGAGCCTTCTTGATGGTGGAGCTGAATCAGGGGTTGAAACTCCAATTCAAGT